TCACAGATTGAACCTTGAAACACCCTCTGGGCTGATGTTAATCAGGACACAGCTAACTCACAGATTGAACCTTGAAACACCCTCTGGGCTGATGTAAATCAGTGCACAGCTAACTCGCAGATTTGAACCCTGAAGCAATATTTGGGTCGATCTAATTTAGGACATGGCTAATTCACATGCAGATCGAATTGGAATTGGAATTGGAATTTGATATGTTAAGTTTTCAATCAAGAGAGGGACCTAATATTTTCAATATTTTCAAAATAATCTACATTTATTCTTCATAAATTTCAAGGTATCCTTTGGAAAGGATCGATCGTTATCTTATTCTTGGTTCTTCTCACCTACTTCCTCTACGAGATATTCTGTCCCGGGAGTTTATTTCGCTATTGGCTGTGCAAACGAGGATCCATCCCTAACCATGAAATGTGGTTTACGTATCATACATTCGACGAACAGGTATAGCTTATTTTATTAACTTTTACCCGCATGAGGGCAGGGACACTACAACACATGGCATAACTATAACCAAGCAATTACTTTTAACACGAACACTAAAGATGGTCGTCACCAGCGTTTTCAGTGGGTCTTTTATATGTCCGCCTTACACAAGGTTATAGTGAATCTGATCATAATACGCTGACCATTGCTAACTTGCGTCACTAGCAGGTGTAGCTCAGTTGATTAATCCGCGACCTTGGGAGCTAGAATAGACTCTTTTCTCAAGGTTGCGTGCGCACCCAATACAAATTCAAGGAACTTGACGGGCCACGATAACAGAACAGGAGCTTTGTGATCAGAATTATCATACATTTCTATGAAATAAATGGTTTTCGATAATAATTCATAAAATTGATCATTCTCCTCTTTAAATATAAAATTGGCTTCTCGATTTTACTGAATTTGTGTTTTTCAGTTTTGGGGCCCGTTAAGTTGGATGCGCACGCAACCTTGAGAAAACGGTCTATTCCACCATTCGATCCTCAGGATCTCTACATCTGTTTCGACTTCTCTCTGATCCATGTAGCTTTAGCTTTGAATACTTTAAACAGAGCTTTGATGGAAGATAGAGAAGTAAAGTGCGCACCCTCAGCTTCCTGGAAGACTATTTACTATATGCTAAATAAGGCCTTTATCTCAATGGCCGCGGAGGACCCGCCCTTAAAGTAGGGAGGATGTTTAGATTGGAAAATATATGTTACTAGATTAGATTATCAGGGAACCGACAGGTTAATTTAAATGCCTTCAATTCCAGACCCCTAGAGTTCATGGGGTAGAGTTTGAGTGGCCCGTTCTGAAAAGGAAGCTTCACCTTGAGTTTAAAAAGAAGAACGCCTCAGGTACGTCAAACGTGTTTACTTAAGTAATTAGCTTGTTTACTGAGCATGTGAAATATGTTAAATCAATTTATTCAATTAACAATTTGTCTGCGATGTTAAATAAAGTATATGTTATGTAGTACGGGCGTGAAGTGGTTGAGGAGGTTGACCCATGCATGCAGTGATCAAAGAAGAGAGTGGGATGGAGGAAAAGCCGGATAGACGAATGAATGAATGAAAATGGATGACTAGATTGAAATAGGGAAGGAGGGAGAGAGAACGTGAGAGAGGTATGTGTAAACAGCCGTGGGAGGGAGAAAAAGAATGAAAGAATGAACAAAAGAATGAGTCTAAGCAATCTTTCTTTGGATGTTCTATCCATAATCCCACAGGGATGCGATACTACCTTAACCTGGACAGATGTGCGTATGGAGGTGTAGTCGCTGTAGCATCTCTTATTGATCACAAGAAACAAGTGCGAGGTGCTGAAATATTCTCTACTAACTCCTCGTGTGATGTAGCTTTGTATGAGTTCGATGGAGATTGGCGTCCTTACAAAACTGGCAGAAATTTTGTTTGCAAACCATAATTACACTCACAACATTCAAACCCAAACACGCTAAGTTGAAGTTGGGTCTGGGAGTTAATCAGCCCACAAGCTGCTTCAGGGTTCGATAAAATATACCTTAAGTGTGTTAAATGTAGTCAAGAGAATATGAACTAAGAGAAGGAATCCTACCTATATAGCCTTGTAACCATCATGTGCACAGTTTGATGCTATTTTTAGCTTGGAGATATTTTGAGCGAAGAACCTGATTGGTTGATTTCTTGAGGGTATGCGGCTTCCAGTCTTGCAGTAAACAAAAGCCGGTGTTTTTGTCGTGGACGAAACGAAATATGGCGCTTTTCGTGTTCAAAAACGAGGCATTAAAGGGAAGCATGATTATCGCGCGGGTATGGTAACGAGTTAAAAATAGCATCAATGATTCTAAAAATAGCATCAAAAAGTGCACAGCACATGATGGGGCACGGGGATTCCTTCTCTTAGTTCATTTTCTCTTGATGTAGTGTTTTCTCATTTCGTGTCATTCTCTTTAGAATAAGATTCTTCGTTTTAGTTGTACCCTTATTCATGTGTCTTTTTATGTGCAAACGTTAAACAAAGATATGATAATCTAGGGAATGACATACACCTAATCGAAATATGGCGACCAGTTTGAATAGCTATTGTTCTGCGCTGACAAGCGACTAACTAGCCTCGTGTTCACGTGGAAACATAAAAGCATTTTCACATGTATAGGAGGCTAGTCAGTCGCTAGTCAGTGCAGAACAATAGTTATTCAAATTGGTCGCCATATTTCGATTCGGTGTATGTGGTCTGAAATGAGAAAGCATTACGCCCAAACTAAAAGGAGGGTGAAATTTTCCGAGTAGCTATAAAATTTTAAGAAAATGCAATTAGAACTGGTGTCGATGTTATCGTAAACTATTAATAATATTAGAAGATAGTTATATTTATTTAAAATATTTTTTAGAGTGAAATGCCCTTAGGTATGATCTTCGGGTTTTTTTTTCATGAGTGGGAAACGTACGGTACTGACTTACAGCACGTGCACGGTACGACACGCCGTAACATTGAAATGGCTTCCCATTGTCTTTCAGTAATTTATGTAAGTTATCCAATCATAACGCGTATTTATGGTTACGGTAAGATACGGAACGGCTACAATACGGCTACGAATTTGTCGTATCGTTTCCTACTCATACAAAAAATGCTCCACATGCCATTCAAGTGGTCAATAGTAAATGTATGTGGAACATACATCGCCTGTATATAGCACGTTTTTAGTGGGAAAACTAAAGTTTTTTTCAAAGTAATGATAGATAGATAAAATATTGATAAAGATATATTTAAAGAGATATTTTTTGATAGCGCGCTTTGAGCCTTTTAATCTTATTCTTGGAGTCATTGTGAGATTTACATACCGCTCTACTAACTCAAGGACTGTTCATAAATGTCTGCTCCCCGGCCCTCTGCTCGCTCTTACACACATATTTGTCAAACCTTGAACATGATCTTACCCTACCCCCTGATTATGCACTAAAAGATAGAGTGGCTTTCATTAACCCATGCAACAAAATGTACTGAATATTAGAGTGTAATAGTCACAAAAAGTGTATTTCACGGGTTTATGAAAACCACTATATATACATTTTTCTTACCCCCACCACCACCACCACCTCTTCTGACCCTGCTGATTTATGACCAGTCCTTGACTTATTCATTAGTATAACTATAATATTCAAAAATATACCAATAGAAATATAGAGTATTATGAATAAAATAATGAAAAGTCTCAGCATAGAAGGTACTTTCTTCCTTTTGGGCTCCCTGTGGAATTTAACCACAGATGGGTACTAAGCGTTAGTGTTATGGATGAATGCGGAATTACTTTATGAGATATGTATCTGTTAGTAGTTTGTTTAACGGATGAGAATGCCAGCGACTTTAAATCTTGAGCGCGCACTGAAAAGTCTGGCTGACTGATCTAAGCTATAACACATTGCTTCCCTCAATGTAAAAAAGGTTCAGCTTGCATGTGGCTAAACTAAGCTCAAATTTTGATGCGAAAATGTTGTTTTTTTAGTAATTAGTATTGATTGACAAGCTTTTTCGTTTTTGTTTTTTTCGTTTGGTTTTTTTTTTGTTTGTTTTGTTTTGTTTTTTTCGTTTTTTTGCGTGATTTGAGTTAAAAAGAAATTGTAAGAGCCGGAAATTAATGATGTACACTGTAATGTAGATCCTGCCTGTGAATGGGGTAGGCATAAGTGTTGTTGAGAAACTTGTTCGAGATCTCATTGTTATCCACTCTCAATTCATATCCTTTTGTGGGGGGTTAGCAAAGGCTACTTTAACCACTCATTCACGACTCTGCTTTGAATCATCTTCCTGTTAAGCGATGAAGAACCATTTTTACCACAGGARCAGCTGGTGTTATGCATAAACTGGTAACGGTGACGTCACAGGACGCGCATCACGCAACCTCGTGTTCAGCATTACAACTTCAAGGTCAGACTCCCTGACATTTGAAAAATCTAAATTCTAATTTTAAAATGGTTTAAATAATTTAAGTTTTAGAGCAAAAATAAATCTCAAACTTCCTTGTTTTTCCCCCCGAAGATTTGGAACGATTCCCATGGGAACGAGGTAGTTGCTTAAGAGCAGTTGTTATGGAAACCAGAAGACTCCTGGCCAACGGATTGCACTAAAAGCGGAACTAAAACTCTTGACGCACTTCAGTAAACAAAATCATGAGCTCCAGCACACTTTAATTTTCTGTGAGGGGAGGGGAGGGCTGTAGATGATTTGATGGGCAATTTTCATATCTTTCCTCCCCAAAAATGCACCTTTTTGTCAATGGTCCTCAACCACTCAACTACTCAAACTTCAGTGAACGGTCATGAATATGAACTCCGTCAAATATCATTATTACTAATACTATCTAGGAATGGGATTTCTTTGCTTTACTTTGATGAACCGAAAAAACACTAAAAATAACATGAAAAAAATACTAGTGAATTTATTTTAGATTCCTAAGTTAACTTTTGAATCGAATTTAAAAGCTTTGCAACTACTTTTCGGCAGTGTTTGGTGATGCTAGTAATTTAACACGATATGGGTTAAATTTACCCATCATTAGAAAACCAAAAGTCACGAAAATCAAATATAATAATGGAATATTTGGGAGATCACTCAAATTCGACTGCATTTGCCATCCTAGCCGATAGCCCGAATGACGTGTATAATTCCACCACTGACCATATAAAGTAATATGACGTCATCACATAAGAGTCAACACTTGTAAAGACAAATGAAGACAGTTTGAAAATACTAGTACAAAAATAAAGTAAAACTTTAAAAACTGACAAAAAATTGTGTGGGGTGCTAGGTAATTTAGTTTAGCTTGTCTTCTGGTAGGTTTGTGGTTGGGAAGAAAACTACAGGCGCACGATACGTGACTGATGAGTTCAACAAGCGTGCTGTCACTATAAGGGATCGGATGTCACGTCAAGTTAGGCATCCCAACATTAACTTCCTGTCGTCAAACAGATCTTGCAGTCTATGTTTGAACTTCATCTAGCTTGAAAGTAAAGCTCAACTCAACAAGTTACTACAAGAATCAGAAACGCAGCCAAAAGTTAAGTTGGTTAACTAAAATGAGGGAACTCTAATTATATTCGAAGCGAATTTTAAGTAATAGAAGTTGCGAAATCTCCACTAATTCCTACCGTGGACTTAGCTACCCCTCAAAGATTAGGCTTTGAGCTTCGAAAGTCCAGATGGAGAGTAAAGTTTTCAACGAAGTTCCAAATCTCGCGCCCTGTTTGGGCGATGATCTGAATGGGACAAGCTTGGATGAATTTCTAGAGAACTGTGTAGAGAGAGAATGGGATGCAACGATACAACCAGGTAAGAATGAATCAAAGGATCCTACTGACCAAGAGATTGTATTTCACATTTTTTAAAAAAAAGCTTGGATTTTTCCTGATATTTTGATGACTGCTTGCTAAATTATACAACTCCAATGGAACAATAGAACATTCGATTATTAACTGAAATCGACTTAACTTTTTACAAGCGGTTAAATGAACTCAAATAAAGCTCAATTATGCATAATAAATTCGAATCAAATTCAAAAGAAACAAATATAATATGCGAATCTATGTGTCACACATAAAAGATATTAAAATAACAAGTAATATATCTGATATTTTTGATATTTTCTAATATATCTAACTGGATTAAATATAGAATTTTTTTGGTTGAAATAATTGAAGTTATTACGAACTTTTTTCTTTGTGAAATATAATAAAGAATATCATCTTTGGTCATGATGGCTGCCCTTCTATGTCGCGTTTATATGTACGAAATAATACAATTGAATTGAATTTAGATCATTTGTTAGCATGGTTATCTAAAATATTGTACCTCGGTAAGAAAGATTATAGTCTTGGCTGTGAGGAAGACTAGAAACATTATTACACCGTACAGAAATAGTGAACTCAATGACAGTAAAAAGCTATATATGACAATTACTTCTAAATCGTATTATTCTCTCGAGAATTGCTTGTTCAAATATGCGTGGAGAAAAGAAAAAAAATATCTTTATTGATAATCTAGAAGCCTTTCAAATGAACTTTAATACAAACTATTCCAAAACGTTGTTCCTGTTTCATTGTCAGGAATGATTGAGAAAGACGTTGCGTGTGGAATCTGTATATACTGAACACACGTCATGGCTATATAAGGTACTAAGTCACGCGAATTGATCTTACTAGTCACGCGAATTGATCTTACTAGTCACGCATGACTTAACGTTTTCCGTGGGGGGTAATGCTTTGTATCGACTACAAAGGCTTAGATTATCAAGATGACTTCATGTTTCAAGAAATTTTTATCAACGACCATAATTTTCTTACCTCGCACCTGCCTGATAAAATCTTATAACCTTTTTCAATCACATTTCACAAATTTTTAAGTTTAAAATTAACTTGTTTAAATTAAGTTGGTTCAATATTGTAAAGTCAAAATTTATTAAGATTTCACAAGTTTTATTTATCTGGTTAGTTATAAACAACAATAAGTTAAACCACGTAGAAAACAAGAATCTCTGTTTCGTATTAAACTTGTCAGTTGCCAGTGACCAGCGAGTCCTATATTTTACGACGTAGCATTTTTCATCCTTATTTTCACTCCTTTTAGCAAGCTCGTACAGTTGGACTTTGCTATTTTGTTGGTATAAAACCCTCTTTAGAGTCCTTATCGGAGACTCCCCCACTACCTACCACGTCAGATATTAATAAATTTACAGATGCTTATCTATCGGATGTTTATTTTTCCTACTATCTCATCTCATTTTTTCAATATTTAATCTAGTTATCRTGATCCAAAATACACTATTTGAGTGGTTTTGTCACTTTTCTTAAAGTGTTTCTACCTCGGTAAATGTTACCTGTGGATAGCAAACGTGACTTGAATCAGCCTTCATGATCAATAGGAATTTTCCCGGGTGGGGCCGGGTGATTTTATAGTGTAAAATCAATATAAAAATGGTTGCCTTGTTATGGGCTCGCTGTGGTGTGCCAGTCAAAAACTGATGACGTTATTTTCTTCTTCTTTTCTATCTTTGTCCTCTTTCTCGCTTTTCTTTTCTCTTTTTAATTTCCGAAATATTATTAATTTTACCTTCACGATTTTTCTAATGTAGAGTTTCAAAAATCTTTGAATCAGACGCCATATTCTTTTGTTTCACTCCACGCCAGTGATAAACTGTCTTATGCCAAGCTGATCACGTACACTACAGACTTGAGATGCACCGTCATTCAGGCATGGCGGTCTCCTTTCTTCTGTTAATGATAAACGGAAATGATCGCAGGAAGTAATTCTTGTTAATATTTTGTGTTCGTTCGTTTCTTAAAAATTAAAGTTTCTAGCTTAGGGCATGAGGGCAAAACAATTGTCATCTCACGGTAAGCGATTTAGGGGGGAGGGGTGGTGTTACCCGGTACCCACCACCTCTGGAAGTGAAATCTTAGATTTTGTCCCCAAATATCTCCAAAACTAAAAACCAAATCACAGAAATGAATGGACTGTCTGTCTACATGTATGCTAAAAAACATATTTGCGTATAGAAATTGCCACTACAGACCCCCAGTATCGAGCATTTGAACAGGTCTCTGAGGGGGGAGGGGGAGGGGGTACTTCAAAAGTTTTGACATTTCATTTTATTACTTATAGCTCAAGCTGTTCCAGGGTCCATGCCGCACATACCGGCGCTGGATCCAGCAGAATTGTTCTCCATGAACACACTTTACCAAGCGCCCAAGATTCCAGATGTAACGGTGTCTGTCCAGGTTACTGGGCTCAAGGATTCGTACGAAAAGGGACAGAGTAGACATAAGGCCAAGTCACAGCAAAGACTATTGAATGGAGAAGTGAGTTTTACAGCGACAGTGTCACATCCGCTGCAGGTAATTGAATCTGTAATAGAATGAATGCTTAATGGTGAATGAATACATGTGGATAGTGGAAGAGAATTTGAAATGGGATAAATTTGAAATGAGAAAAAGCTTAGGAAATGGGGCAGGCAAGTGGATCGGAATGGAGGAAAACATCTTCACATTTTATCGATACTCTAAAATAATTCATACAACCCCTGGGCTGGTCTAAGTCAGGGCACGACTAACACACACACATCAAACTCTGAAACAACCTCTGGGCTGATCTAAGTCAGGGCACGACTAACACACGCATCAAACCCTGAAACAAACTTTGGGCTGATCTAAGTCAAGGCACAGCTAAATCACAGGTCGAATCGGAATTTAACTTGTGAGGTTTTGTGGAAAGAGTAAAACCGAATGAATCAATGAATGAATGACCGACCGACCGACCGACCGACCGACCGACCGACCGACCGACCGACGGACGAACGAGCGAAATGGATGAATGAATAAGAAACTATGGACAGTTTTTGAATGAGCATTGTATTTTTTTTGTCTAGGATATTTATGTATACGTAGAAAGAGTTCCCGAAGCAGCAAGAATCCTCCAAGATACCACAGGGCGCGTCCCTTTGCAGATAATCTGGAGGAGAGGAGACTCGAATTCTGTCATCTTCTCCGTAGATCTCGACTCAGTCTACGAAACACCGGACGGTGGAAAAGTCTACGAGCTGTCGCGAGTAAAAGGCGAAGAGAGAAACATCTTCCATCTGGTTTTAGTGTTCCTATTTATGAATGGGGTCACAAGAGAGTACTCTTCCAAGAGATTTAGAGTTAAAAGCAAGGCTGCCTCATCGAAACCTGGTATGTATTACAAGATATTTTTATCGACATCATCAAGCAGGGGTCCGGGAGGAAGCAGTGTGCCAGTTTCCTGGCAATACACACGCGTGTGCGTTTTACGAGTTTCCCGCCAAATCCACAGGTTTAACGCTACTGTAACAAACATGGAATCGAGGTTAACTCATTTGACTTTGGTTTTAGAATCACGTGACGAGTTGGAGGGCAGCACGTGCAGCAGTGAGGATCAAGTATCGTTTTCGTATGATAATTCTCCACCAAATAGAAAAAGAAAACGAGGTAAGTTACACTACTGCAGCCTTGACTCGTGCCATACTTTTGGGCGTTTTATTTGGTTTAGAGGGGAAGTTGGACGCAATTTGATTGGTCAGCCAATGCTAGCCGAGCCTTTTGATTGGTCCGTTGAAGGAAGGCATTTGATTGGTGCAGACCTATTGCATTGATACAGATAGTGACCTAACTATATTTATTTTATTCAGATGAACTTGGTCATGGAGAGTTCTCTCCTGGAAGCATCAGCAGTGGAGTCGGTAGTGAAGGTACGCGATGACTCATCATTATATCTATCATTGTATGCAATATGTGACTTTGGGTGCAGTGATTTCCTATATCTCGGAGATTCTATATAGTCCCAAGCATTACAAGTATAACGGGAAAAAAAATACTCAAATTGAATGAGGCGTGATTTGAAACGGTTATTGGTAAAAGTGGTTATTCCATCGTTTCTTACTTCTCTCTTCTCGTATGAAACCCAGTAATTCATTAAGTTATTATATAGAAAAATTAAAATTCTTTTTCTTTAAATTATTTCCAGTGTCAAATAGTTTTTCCGAGGTCATCACCGACCACCTAGTGGCCAAAACTGCGATCATTGGGGAACTCCAGATTAACAAACCAATGCTGACTGAACGAGGTGACATTGCTTATCACTTTCCCTTGGAAAAATCCCTCAAAGACGAAAACGAGGACCTCGAAGAGGGAGACGTGATCGGGTTTTTTGAGGACCCTGATGGCAAGACCTATATTCAGAAGCTCACTTATTTCAATGCCAAGAATGTAAAGCTGGCGGGTGTTATCAGCAGATCTGCGTATCTTGAAGCAAAAGCTAACTTAGAAAGTGCCGAGAAAGGTTGGTAGTAACAATATCTGCACTTCGTCTCCCCTCCTCTCCCCCCACCGTATGTGTTTTCGATCTTCTAGTATACAATGTAAGGATCGAGCTATCCACGCTGTCACCATGTTTGTACCCATGACAGTAAAACCTTTGTCTATGCCTGAGTAAGTTTATCATCAAGCATAACTGTCGTTTAGCTCTGCAGCCTGGCTCTCGTGATATAAGAATAGAGGCCCTGGGAGACTGGAGCTAAATTACATCCAATCAAAGTCGAGAAAAGGGAACGCTTCCCTGTTAATAATATTTAAATATTACTCTAATAACTATCTATCTTTACAGACACAGACGAGGTCGTTTGTATGATTGGGATGGTCAAAGTCAAGGTCATGGGTCCTGTCAAGAATGGCGAACGAATCTACGCGTCGTTAGAAAGCCCTGGAGTCGCTGTCCCTCAGAGCAGAGTCTGTGACGTCACTTCACAAGATTCCTTCCTTCTTGGTCAGTCCCTGGAGACTGTGGAGTGCAAATCTAACGACATCACATCCCCTCAGTGTTTTGTGTCGATCATATTAACTATCAGTACTGGTCACGTGACTCGAGCCGTTAATGACATGCGCAGTGGGGTCAAGGAGGATGTTAAAAGTGAAGTGAAGCAAGTTAAGAAGAAATGCATGATGGGTAAGTGTATATAATCAATAGGAACGCTGGTATAAGCGAGAGCACAGGAATAAGTAGAAAATAATGGGGCCTGGATTAGGGAGAATAGTAATGCCTACTATGAAAAAACCTCTAGGCTGATAAGGTTAGGTTCTCCTTCGAATCAAGGGACTCCAGAGTCGAGTTCACTTCCCACAATAGAGTTTTAGATTGACTTTTTTTCTCCCCGCAAACGGCAAACGTGACCACGTTTTCATCGTTTCCCTGTATTTTACTTTACCTTTTACAAACCTTCTCACCAAAGACAAATATTCTTTTGTTTTTCTACTACTTGGACTTGAACGTAATAGTTTTAAACGTTTGCCGTGAACGTAAATCTAAAACTCTCTAATACCTGAAATGGATTTGAGGGAAGGTATGGGAATGAGAATGGACCTGAATCAGACCTAGTACAGTAATTCATTCACTAACTATAATATTTTGGCTACTTTATCCCCAGGTCTTCGTCGCTGGTTATTGGCTGGGTTTATTCTAGCGGTTCTCATTTCTGTCCTGTTATATCAGCTTTTCGCTCCAGGCACGGCCCTCAGGTACTTCATGTGTAGCCAAGGAGCCATTGAGGGGAGTGACCTGTACTTTACATTTACTACTGTAGACAAACAGGTGAGCTATTAAGACACAAAATAATTATGTCCGCTGTGATTGGTCCAAAACGTTGTTTATTGACTGGTTCGAGAGTGTGATTGGATGGAAGCAATTTCTTTCTTGGTTTTTGATTGGTCCAGGGTTGGAAGCCATTTGAGAGCCATGTTTCTATTGTGATTGAATAGTAGACATTTCTTGTTTTTTTTGATTGGTCCATGGGTAGAAGCCATTTGATTGAGAACCATGGTTTAATTGTGATTGGATAGTAGACGTTTATTTTTTAATTGTCATTAATGGACACTAGGAGACGGAAACCATTTAAGTGTCAACTGCATTAACTCTATTTTCGTACTTGTCATTGGTACTTGATATATATGACATTAATATATACGGTATTTTGTCTTTCTAGACTCCGCGAGTGCATGGTATTCAATTTCCATTTGCTAAATTAAAGAAAAAGTTGGAGTTGAACTTCAACGAAATAAGCATCAAAGGTAAGCTCTTAAAAAACTTCTTCGGACAGTCACTAATGTCTGTCTCTCATCTCTGTTGGCAAGCTTGTCCTTCTGTCATGGCTAGAATATTTCATACCTTTCCCCCCTCTCCAAAACACAAGTTATGCAAAACCTCAACATTTCCCCCAATTTAGAATGACATTAAATCATTGTGCCTTGTCAGACTGTCTGTCTGTCCAATTATCAATCACCCCATTAATCGCCAACTATTTTATTCAGGTGCCAAGTACTACCTCAACATAGATCGATGCGCCAATGGAGGAATTCGCCCAGTCTCCTCAACCCTCGATGGGCTCCCTATGGTGCGTGGGGCGGAGATAGTAGCTGTCAACCACAATTGCTCTCGAGTATATTACCATGCAGAGAAATGGGAGCCTTATGACACGGCAAGAGATATCGTATGCACCAACAATGAGGAAGAGTTTGGAGAATAACTTGCCCCATCAGKGGAGGGGTGGGTACACATGAGTTGAGTACCTCCACCCTCTTAGGTTTTTATTTGACCTCAAAAGCTTGCTGGTTTGAGCTTCATCATTCAGTCGTATGCATTCCAGGCGTCTGCTCTGAATAATAATTTAATATTCATATAATGATAATAATTTTAGATTTTATGGTTGGTAATCGTACATACGGAATGAAGTGTCATGATTGGCTGGAATGTGGCTTCGTGTTTTTGATTGAAACCGAGAGAAAGCCATCAAAGTGTGACCGTAATTAAATTTTCCTCGCTTGTATCCATCAACATTACGTTTGTAAAGATTTCAAATGCAATCTCATTCTTTTGATTCGATGAGCTGACCATTGCATTTGGCTATATAATAATTAAATACTCGGTACAATACTAAAACAAAAAAAAAAACAAAACAAAAAGAAAAACAAAAAACAAACAAAAAACAAACAAACAAATAAACAAAGAAATTGGACCGACTTTGTCTGACCAACCATTTCCTACACATGTACGTAACCGACAAAATTATGAAATCCGAATGGGAAGGATGTTATTAGACATTTTTAATCGTGTATATAATATTTCTGTACATAGAACTAAGAGGCCATTCATTCAATACACTCATCACAATTACCTTCCAAACACAAGGAACCATAGACTAAATTTTTGAAAGTCAAAACCTCCTTGACACTTAATATCCTCTAGCTTTGAAGACTGTCAAAGTTGTATGGGAATAATTTTAACTTTAACTCAAGGTAATTTTGGTAACGCAAGTTTTAGCAATGGCTTTCTTCTGAAGTATTTCTTATAAATTTTGGCTATGTAGACGATGATATCATATGGGCCTGGGGCGAGTTAGGTAACGCAAGGCAGTCTGGGAATGTTTGATTTCATATTTGCGAATCCCAGAAAGCCTTGTGCGCATTACTCTCCCCAGTCTTGGATATTTAGGTATATAGTATTTTGTAGTAATAGAAAAAATATTAGTTAAATATTAAATACTACTCATATCAATACAATTCATATTCCCATTATCGAATGTATTTTATACTTGCTTAGATGCTGCTTATTTTAAATATTTATTGAATCATTGGTCCTTACGTATTTTACTTACTTGACGCTGATTGGCTTTTGACACAATATGGAAGCCATTTAGGTGCTTCAAGAAGCCAATTAATTGCACATTCAATATCTAAATCACACAATTCAAACATGCAATGTATTTAGATGCATTTTTGGATTCGTATGGCTATATTAAAGTATCATTAGTTGTTTTATATTTTGACATTTTATCATTGTAATATGCATTGTGATTGAATAATAGAGAAAGCCATTCAGGTGCTCGATACATATTTTATAAATTATTGCTTTTAAATGCTGATTATTATGATTGTTTAATATAATTAAAGTGCTTGATATATTAAAAGTTAATAGTTATATGCTGTGCTGTGCATTGTGAAAATACATTTATAATTAATAATTACTTTCACATGCTGTGCATTGTGATTAGAAGCCATTTAAGTGTTTGATATATCGAAAATCATTAGTCATATGATATGCGATGGATTTTCATGAGAAAGATAGTGAAATCCACTCAAGTGTTTGAGACACTTGCTGCTTTAATATATATGCTGTGCATCGTGATTTGAACTTTTAGGTCGAATCGACCATTAAAAGTATAACTGTGAAAAGATGGTAATATCTAAAAACAACAATAAAAGTTAATAAATTTGAAACTGAAAATGAAAGATTTATTTGTTTTCAATTTATTTTATTTGTTTATTTAAGAACTTTGAAAAAATTCGAACCGGCTTGTACATGGTTTTTCTTTAAATAGTTTAGAAGCTCATTTAGGTGTTTTCTCCTAACCTCACTACCTCTTTATCAAGAAATTATTATATACCCTAACTGCCTCGCTTCCAAGTATGGGGCTGACCACTAGAAGCTTGTGTTACCATTTTCTAATAATGTCATTACAGTGTACCTTCATTCCCTTTGGTCTTTACTAGATCGTATTATTTTACGTTTGCACTATTTTTACCAACATTAACTAACTTTCATTAACGATCGAAGCCAGCACTGGCTCCAATGTCAAAAAAAAAAACATGAAAATTTTCTAAATTTATTGAAGCTTGTTTTCAATGAATTGTGGATTACTGTCAATCAAAGTAAACGTGATTAGTAGGAACCTTTCACTGGTGCAGCTTGATGGACTAATATTGGAAGCAAAGAGGGGGATTGTCTGCGCATTTCAAATCTTTCTTAAAATTTTTCTTCACTTTCTCTAGTGCGTTCGTTAACGAGGACAGAAAACCTGTTGATGACCTCCTCAATGGTTTTTTCACCATGTACGATGTTGTCACGAGTACGAACATTGACTGTGTTAGACGTGGCTTCTTTCTCACCAACAACTGCGAGGCAAAATATTTGTCTGTTAATATCAATCCAGTGGAATGAGAGCCATTTTTTTGTTTTTGTTTTTGTCTATTGGTTCTTTTTACATACATTTAAATACAAAATTCGTAACCTAATTGTGATATATTTTGAAAAAGTTAGAAGCTGGAAACTAAAGGAAAGGAAAGGAAAGGAAAGGAAAGGAAAGGAAAGGAAAGGAAAGGAAAGNGCTATATTACATACGTGTATCTAGTTTTATATGGTACAATTTCCAGGGACGGTGTTATTTTCGTAAGACTAGCACTTGTTGTTGTTCGGAGATCTGAAAACTGAAATCTGAGACCGAGTATAACTCTGCAAAATGTAATATTTCACAGCCGAAATTTAAGAGTAAAATATTAAGCATGGCCTTAGAAATTGGATTTTGGGAAGGAAAGGAAAGGAAAGGAAAGGAAAGGAAAGGAAAGGAAAAGAAAGGAAAAGAAAGGAAGAACTGAAGATAAGAAAGATTTCCGACATTAAAGAGAAATATCAAACCAGTTGACCCATTTTTCCTTACCAAATATGAAGTTGTACTGAGCCAGTTGGGCATTTCTTACTTTCTTGTTTAGTGTGGTGCCGTGGTCAAGATCAGCATCTGCTAGAAATCCTGCAGCAAATATCTGGTCCTTGACCTAAACAATGAGAGACAGAACCATTAATACTGCTCTGTTTAGAGAGCAAATGTATTGGTTGATCTTAGTATACTAAAAATATTCATGAATCATGTTGTTGCTGCTATTGTTGTTCTTGTCTTGATGTTGTTGCTGTTGTTGTTGCTTCTGCTGTTGTTGCTGTTGTTGTTGCTGCTGTTGTTGTTCTTGTCATTGATGTTGTTGCTGTTGTTGTTGCTTCTGCTGTTGTTGCTGTTGTTGTTGCTGCCGTTGTTCTTGTTGTTGCTGCTGTTGCTATGCGACATTGTTGTTGTTTGCGTTCGTGATGTCAGTCCAACCAAACGTTGAAGCCATCCAAGTTTTTTTATTTCTTTTTCTTAGGAATATTGACAAATTCCATAAGCTACTTTCCTTACCTTTTGAGCATATTCATCATATTTAGGTCCAACTGGAATAACAATAGATTGTCTTGGGGACAACCAGAATGGCCTGTGAGGACAATAAAGCATCGCATAAATAAACCATTGCTAATCAAAGAGACTATAGAATTTTGAAGAACATTTTCTCACCATTTGCCACCAAAGTTTTCAGTCAGAATAGCAATCATTCTTTCAACAGAGCCTAAAATAGCACGATGAACGATTACTGGTCGCTTCTTCTCATCACCTTCACCACTACAATGATCAATAAAATAATTGAAATAAACATAATTAAATACTTAGTGCTAGTCCCCCCCGGAAACAAATCGAGAAAGAGTAAGGCAAAGCTGTACATCTTGAAATAATCAAAAGAGCACAAGAAAAGCTAACTGGATATTGCATTTCTACGTTCGGATCCTAACAATATCTTAACTTACGTGACATAGTGTAAGTTGAATCTCTCAGGCAGCTGGAAGTCCAGTTGGATTGTAGCACACTGATGATAACGACGCAACGCATCTTGAATCTGGATATCGATCTACATACAACAGCGGGATAATTGGCATTCACGAACACTCACAACAGTTTGAGTTATATTATTATATTGTTGGTGGATGGAAGCCAAAACCCCCATGGCTTAATCCCAAATTGTATTAGGTCTTAGATTTTTGGTGAGAAAGAAAAACCGCAAAAACAGAATAAAATATTCAAAATACAACAACTTTTAGGGGAGGGGGGTGGGGTTAGGACATGGTATCTTTGAATACAAACGAATGGGATATTACAAAAAAAAATATAATAAAAATAATAAAGATAAATCACTTTTATTGAAGTGTCTAGTCGTTCTAGCACTTTCGCACTAATTGGGGACACTTTTCGCTCACACGCACTACCACTACATTCAATATTCTATGCACACAACGCTCAACTCACATGCTGATTTTTACGGAGGGTGGAAACTGGAGAACCCGGAGAAAACCCTCGTAGCATAGGAGAGAACAACACATCAAACAAACTCAATTCACATGTGGCGACCGCAGGGYTCGAACCAGCGACCCGACCCGTTGGACTCACGACGGTGAAAGACGACACGTTAGCCGCGAACGCCACCCATGCTACCCAAATCCTTGGCAGAGAAAAAGACGTCAAAACAATGAAGTTAGTGCCATTTAGAATGCCTTGCTTACCTTAGGGCCATAAAATGCACCATCACCAGGATTTAATACCCATGGTAAACCAAAGTTATTCAATGCTGCTTCTAGCTCCTGGAATAAGAATTATGATGAGTATATTTTCCTAGCATTTGCTTATGTATTTGAAATTTGATGCAAATGTATTACAGCTTAGGTCACTGGGAATGGGAAATAGAATGACAGCCTGTGGAGTGCTGCAGGGTTCATCTATAGGACTTGAATTTAGCTCACTGGGAATGGAAAATGGAATGGCAAGATTGGAAGTTCTGAACAGCTTATCAATATGACTGTGATTTATGACTGCGAATAGCAATAACATGACTAAAGGTTTTCTCCAGAGTTCATCAATGGGAACTGAATTTTGGTAAAATTAAGCTGTAAACTAGAAAACAATTGGGACTCTTGAAAACCAAGTGTTACAGTCCATTCCCAGCATCAGGTTCAAGGGTCGTCCTATTCATATTCATGCACTTTTTAAGCAGTTCTGTAGCGGTTCCTCACCTTCTCCGCATCATTCCACAGTTCTAGTTTTCCCATGTATTTATCTGGTCTGGTGGAAAGATTCAGTTTAAAAGTGAAGCCAAAAATACCATAGACATGCCTGAGGAAATCTAGGCAGCCAACTATCTCTTCTCCAATCTAAAATATTGAAAAAAATGAACATATATTGAGTGCAATAAAAAACGTATTCTTTAATAAAGAGCAAACTAAGGCAACTTGCAACAACACAGAAAGAGGGAGAAAAATGGACAAATGGATGGGTAGATGAATAAATGAGTGATCAGTTAAAGTGCCTATCACCCTTCTGACAATATTCACAGTATTAATTCTACGTGGGGTAAGATGTTGAATAACACTAAAAAAATATATAGTTTAAGTGCAACTTCTTGAAGTCTTAAAGGTTTTTCCATGCCATATGCTAATGCTGTGACGTATGAGGAGTAATCATTTAGTATACAAAACACTACTGGTACAGATAAATTAAATTTGAAATACATCATTGTTTTCCCCATTGCTCTTATAGAAATGATTGCAAGTTAGTTTTCCCATAGAAGCCGGTGTTTCGAATTACGATGAACAACAAATAACCATAAATGCCTCCTCATACGTCACAGCATTAGCATATGACATGGAAAAACCTTCATAACTTCAAGAAGTCGCACTCAAACTATGTAATTTTTTCGGGTTATTCAACATCTTACCCCATGTAGAATCAATACTGAGAATATTGTCAGRAGGGTGATAGGCACTTTAAACTAAGCCGGACGGCATGATGGGAGAGAAACGAATGTGTATTGTTTATGTTCTTTGATAACTTGCAAAGTATTTGATAGAGTTTTCAGTTTTTAAAGTGCTTATAAGCCTTTACACAATATTTTCAGAATTGATTCTTTA